AACCAATCACATGAATCTCCCGCCCCAGACACACAAGCATGCGGTTTGATTGGCTAGACCTTGTACTGGCATATGATTCGATTGGTTGAACATTGCTCAACTTTTGCAGCGAGCAACGCTTTTGAAGCTACGCTGCGCTCCCACAATGCAGTTCGGCGAAGCGTGACGTCACCCCATTCAAAGTGAATGGGCAGAAGCGTTAAAGCTTCAACGCACGCCGCTGTGTGGACGGGCCGTTAATGTCTGAGCCTCTCTGTAGTTCACTTTCTACCAGTGTCAACTTTGGAAAGTGAACTGATGAAATGTGTTTCCATCAATGTTATTAACATCTACCTATTCTAATGGGACGGAGGGTTATTTAGAGTTTTGTGTTATCATTTTTTGGCAGCACCTGAAATATTATTGACATCCACCTGGATTCAACTTTTATTTTATAAATATTCACATTATTATATTTGGATTGCCTATGTTTTTAATGTATTTTTTTTTTTTTATGTGGCTCTCCCCAAGGTTTATATATTTTTTATAATTATTATTACACTAAAACATTATTATTTAAATTATTATTGTTTTGATTTATTTGTATAATGATTCAAATTCTAATTAATAGTGCTTTATTTATTTATTTTATAGTTTAACCACTTTTTTATTGTATTTATTCATTTTGTCCTGAGAGGGTGATCAGTTGTTAAATGTTCTTTTTTTTTCTTACCTATTTTATCTCATTGTATTATTTGTAAATCTTAAATATCATGTACATACTGTATGCTGCACGTTTGCGCAAAGGTTTTCGGGTTCTGTTCATCTTGTATTTGGTGACAAATTGTTAAAGCCCTTTTAGCGGCACCCTGTGTATGAAAAGTGTCATACAAAAAAATCTGTATTATTAGTTATATATAAATAAATATATATATATATATATGTTCCCTTCAAATTCCCAGTTACTGCGAGGTTCAGTGTACAGAGGGTGTTGTTTGCTTCAAACACTGTAAAACCCCAGGAGACTGATGCAGAATTTGTGATGTTTTAAGTTTAAGGGCCTTGACCGAATCAGTCATGTTGCATGGAAACTAGAGAAGTGTACGAGTAATTATAAGTGAGATGGCTGATGCTTAGGAGAAGACGATGAAGCATGGTGTTGCAGGTTTGATCGTGCTTTCTTGCGGGACAAGGGTGAGAGTTTGCGGGGCCACGGAGGGGTTGTAAGAGCTTCATTACTGAGAGGAGTGCAGGTAGCAGGGAGTTGCAGCAGCTTTGACCTCTGCTGAGCACGAACTTTGGGAGTAGTTGTTAGAGTGAGAGTTACACAGAGAGAAAGGTTTTAATAAGGCGCTGAGAGAAAAGAGCTGCGGGAAGTCAAGGTGAGAGGGCGGGGCGGAGACAGATGTTCTCCATCGGAGCAGAGTCATGTTTATGAGTCATCATTGAGGGTCAGCACATCACTCTGCCCGGGGGTAGCCTTACTAATCTGTAAAGTGCATGGGGGAGCATGCACAGCGACAAGCGTACAGGAAGACAGGAACCTCTGGCACAAGAGGAATGACGGTTATGACTTGCAGTGCAAATACAAGCTATATACAGTATGTTCACTTGAATATATTAGCAAGGAGATTTTGAAAGAATAACTTAAAGTGATTATATTGAGTGACATTGTGATTGCAACTTGATATGCAATATTAGGGAATAAATCAATATTAAACACGTTCTTATAAAACATGTATTTTAAGGATAATAGTTTTGTTTTGAAAAGGATCCGTACCAAAAACATTTGTTTTATTAAGTCTGTCGAACACAGTCCAACTTTAAACCTCTCCAGCTTATGTATGCTACAATTATTCAATATGTAATCTACTGTTGTATCTTTTGTTATCTTATTTGACATATTTCTATAAAACGTATTTATGGATTACAACTGAAAAACATTCAATTATTTTTATTGCGATTCGACATTCAATAAACTGTTCTGTCCTGGTAGTACCTACATTGTTTTTGATTCAGAAGCATGCATCAAATATGTTTGTATAGTGTCAGCTCAATGTGAGTCACACGGCAATTTATTAAATTGCCTTTTATTAAATCAGATAACTATTCATAACTTTTCTTTTTGTATTTTATACCCGTCTTTTTCTTATTAAGTGTAATCTGAATGCTTGTATGTGCTGAATCATATGCATAACAATTGTTGGAAGACTTTTTGTACCCCTATTACAACTGATGGAGCGCATCAAATCGCAGATTAATAAAATCAATATTGTATCTGCAGCATCGATTTAGCACACTCGATCGCCATTATCAACGGTGTGTGTGATTGTATACGGCTTATAGAGATGTGGAGAAGGGAGCAGGGATTCACCCTGAAAGAAAAGAAGCTCCACCAGCAGAATACAGACGGTGAAGAAGAGGAAATAAAGCAGGTAGAGGAGGAAGAAGCCGTGAGATGTTTAAAAGACAAGCTGTAAGTGAGAGCGGGAGCTCGTCAGAGGAATAGAGTCAGGACTCCACGCTGAAGGAGATCTGCAGTCATGGGCCGCTGCTTTTCTTATTACACACTTAAAACTGTCTGTCAGTCCGTCTCAGGGACTTTAAGAGACTTGTGTTAAAAGTCCAACTGAGCTTCCATGTCCTAAAAGCACACACCTTTACCGATTGTCTTATTAACAAGAAACCAGTTCAAACTCTTCCTCCCCTAACTTTATATCATTCTACTCACAGAAACAGAGAGCGCTCTCTAAACGTGTCCCGATTGCTTTATTGCGGCGGGAGCTGTTACACATGGATTCATTCTCAATAAAAAAATGTTTTCTCTAAATCCGTCTCCAGTGACCGTTTGTGATTACACTCTGCTCCTCCGCTCAATACACAAATAAACGCCTACATGACTTCTGCTATGCATTGCCAGCAGATTTTTTCATTCTACTTTGGTTCTGACCACAGACACACACTAGTGTCCCCCCCCCCCCCCCACCCGTACCCTCCCCGGTGAACGCTTAGAAGATGTGCTGACAGAAGCAGTTTTAAATGTGGCTTTTGTTAAGGAAGTAAATTATTAAAAAGCAGGTGGGTAGTTGAGGCTGATGGGAATTTCCAGGTCCCATGAGTGTTGCAGTATTTGTATTAAATACAGCTATTATCACGTGCCACACAGATCTAGAAAGTGTGGTATTAGTAAGAATGTGCATTGGAGCTTTTTTTACATGCTGTCATTATGTGCGATAATGTCTTGAATATGAATTTAGAAAAGTGACAGTTGCCTTAAAGGGACAGTACCCCCCAAAAATCTAAAATACATATTTTTCCTTATATACCGGATTTAGATGAGATATTTGCAACATTTGTTAAGAATTTTGAATTGCCTTGCGTTGTAATGTGCTATAAAAAATGGCCTTGCCTTACTATACACATTAATCTGAAGGAAAACAACCCTTTAGGCTATACAATGCCCAGAAACATGCTCAAACTCCCTTCAAAACCCAACATACCAGGTAGAAAGTACTACTTCTACATATTTCTCTGCCTACCTTCACTTCTATTTATTAATCTAGATCGATTAATTGTGTATTTGGAGATTGCAGAAGAGAGTTCTGCTTTTTCTCCAGTATTATGGATGAGATTACACTATAACATCTCATCATCAGGTTTCTCAAGATAATTCACATACTATGCAGATCAATAAAAGCCAAACTAACCTTTAGGGCCTTATAATGAGCAAAAACATGCCCCCCGCCCACACTGGGACAATGGCCATCAACAAAAGCTAAAACAACAGCAGCGCAGATTACAAGTCAGAGGAGATGGAAATGTGAGTCTCTAAAGGCTTAATGGAACAAATCTAGTTTAAAAGTCAGTATTTTGCACTCTAAGCAAAGTGTTTAAATACTGACGGGAGTTCAGGATTGCTGGGGGCTTGATTACATTTGTGCAGAAGCTTTGGTTAGGTCAGTGTTTTACACAGACACCATGGAAAGACACTAGGTGGAAAATGTGGATATTAAAAAGGAGTCAGAAATATATAAACAGATGCATCTGTCGGCTCTGGATCACAGGTTCATGGAGGCTGTTGATGTTAAAAGGATGCTTTTGATTTGAATTCTTACAGAGATCAAATATTTCCAGTTTTACATCACTTCTGAGCACAGCGTGTCAGGATGTTGGCAGTAATTGCTGTGACTTTTATGTTCCACTTCAAAGGTCATTACAACACACAACCTCAGGTCATGTGGCAGAGTCCATTCCACTTCCTCTCCACGCTGATCCGCCCAAATGTTTCCACAGTTTTTCACTCTCGACACTAATTAAACCCGTTTCATTTACTCCCTTCAGAGATGCCTCACCAGTCTGAATATTAACCACCGTTCACTGAGCTGAACTGAACCGAAGAACAACACGTTTCCTTCTGATGAAAGTCAAATGGCCTCTCCTGCCGCAGCGCTAACAGAGACACGGCACGATCAGGCATGATTCCTCACCGATATCAAAGTGTGTGAACTGTGGGAGCACCGTCTAAAAATGAGCAAACACTTCCTCTGACTGAACACATTAACACATGGTTTTACTTTTAGCACGGTGTTAGCAACATAAATACCAAATTGTATGATTTTAAAACTGTATCTACAGTATAAAACTACATGTTATCATCAATAAACAAAAGTCAGTAAACTGGCACACTGTTGACATAATTGATGCCATGCGGGATGAAGAAAACGTTAATCTCCTGTCAGTTACAACAAAGACTCTTAATGGTTGATAATCAGTGAGTAAACACAGAGATACTGTCTCAGTTTCCACATGTGAACAACACTGTCAACAATATTCCTGCACTCACAAAGGCTGTTATCCTTTTTGGATCACAGGAATCATCACGTCTGTTTCCACTGAATGACACATTGGAGATATTTGTAAACATTACGGAGATCATCAAGCCTGAAAGGATGATTGATGAGTCACTGCTCTTAAAGAGGAAATGAGAATTCAAGTGTGAGAGAGAATAAAGGAGTACGTACTGTAGGGCACACATTCGTACTGGACTTCCAGATATTTGTATGTTCCCGGGCAGGGGTCAGGAAACACGTCTGGTCCGGCCACAACAGCACACTGCGTCCGGTTGTTACATCTGAAACAGAAAGCAGAGAAACATCAGACAGAGTATCAAAGTCAAACATTTTAACAAAAGAGTAAATGTTCAATTTTGTTAGGGGCCATTTTAAAAGTTGGAATACAAATGGTGTTATTCGCCCACAATAAACATGGAAAGGAAATAGTCTTTACATAAAAGTAGATGTTTTATACTTGGATTCAACTTTGGCTCCACATGTTCCACAGAAAGCCTCTTTTACAAACTGGAGTGTCGTTTGAGAGACATTTCCGGGTAAAAGGAAGGTCTGTGATTGAGTTGCGCTGCAATTAAGAATCTCTCCCTAAAAGTCAAAGTTATATTTTGTTTAGGGTCGTTTTAAAGGTCAACTCCATGTTCCATTTTCTGGGACACATTGCTACATCTAGTTTAAAGAAACAGCGTCTGATTGATGTGAGATCATTGAAAACACACAGAGAGTAAAGCCTTGTGATTGGAGCACAGGCGTGTGTCATATTTAATGTTCACAGAGGTCACCCCTCTCTTTGGGTGAGGAGACAATCTGCTGTGTAAATTCATCTCTCGGTTGCAGGCTAAAGTTGAAAGTCATGCACCTGAATCCAGGCGTTACTCCGTGTACAGGTCACAGTGTTATTACTGCATGATGGATGGCAGTGATGCTGGTGCAGAGGAGGTGGGGGCCGCACAATCAACTGAGTGCGAAATCAGCTCCAACATGAAATGTAGGTCTTCATTAAAAAACACAATTATGGTGCCGGTGCTGTTTTCGTGTGCCATTTTGCTTTTGGCAGTCATCAATCACAGCCTCACTTCATATGCACGGAGAGAATCTCGCCACACATAATGACAACGCTTATCTCACAACGGTGACTCTTAAACGCAGGGACAAATATCGATCAGACGCTGCATCTGTTTGCAAAATAAAGGATAGCAACTTCCTGCTACAGAGCTGACACCGTGAATCAATTCTATACTCATTTACTGACTGCAATTATCGTGCAATGTATAAAAGATATTTATTCCTCAGCGTGGCGGGTCACACTGTAAGTCCGCTGAAGGTCAAGGCGGGGTCTGACACAATGATTCATACGGCACAATTAAAGGATCCTCTACACCTTAATTAACATTGATTGGCTGCCGACTAATCAATCGCACCAGTGAGGGACAAGGAAAGAAAGAGCCATCTCATTTCAGGCCGACACTGTAATGAGATATGGTCGAGCTTTATAGGTTCATGAACCCCCACCACCAACACATCACCCCCCCCCACTGCAGTCAGCTGTCTGGGGCACATGAACAGATAATTCCCAGGCAGTCAAATAAATAAGAGGTCAAGCCTATGAAATGGAGAAACAATTAACGAGGCGGCCACCTCACCCCTGCACCTTCCTCTTCCTCTTCCTCTTCCTCCTCCTCCTCCTCCTCCTCCTCCTCCTCCTCCTCCTCCTCCTCCTCCTCACCATCTCTGTTTAAAGGGTGAAGGGGGGGGGTGTATAATCGGCAGGTGAAAACACAAGTTAAGATTAAGTGTCATATAGTGTTGCACGGTGTACCGATACTTGAAAGGTACCGCGATACCCTGCCGTTAAAAACGGTACGATTCCTCCGTTTCATTAGTATCGGTACTTTAAGAATGACGGGGAAAAGTACTCCGGTGAGAAAGCGCCGTTTTAATAAGAGCCGTGTGTGTTCAGCGCTCTGCTTCCATTCCCTGCACTGCAGCCGTGCCTGCAGTCCCGCCCCTCTCAAGCACGTTCTAAGTCCCTCCCCTCTCTCGTGCACTCGGCCACGCGCTAGCTGCCAGAGCATGTGAGAAAACGAGAAGCATGGCTGCAAGTGGGAGTGCAACTGCCGCTGCGCCTCGGCTTGTTGACACAAAAGACGCCAGAAGCGAAATTTGGAAGTTATTGAGCTATATCTCTGACAGTGAGGGCAAGCCTACGGACACCACGAGGCCTGTCTGTGAGTCATGTTTTAGATCCCTGCAAACCAAGGGAGCCAACACATCAGACTTGGCTAAGCACCCGCCGACCAGCATGTTTAAAGAATTTAAAGACAGACAGGTTAGCGAATGTGATAGATAACATAATTACATCATGCTCAAGCCCATGCCCTCAAATCTAAGTCAAACAAGTGTAATTTATTTTGTGACAAACGAACGTTTTCGTAGTTTGACGAGGCAATTAATGGCAATGATAACTGTCTAATATGGCTATCTTTTTAGCTAACTTACCAATGTGGCTAACATCTGCAATATACATTTTGTCAATAATTATTTATATTACTGTACTATTACATGTTAATAAAATATTTTAAAAATTATATTTTATAAAACAAAAAAGTTGTTTGAGATGATGCTTAATTTGATTTAATAAGAATTCTTGTCATTTATTTTGTTTATTGTTCTCATTGTTTAAAAGTTTGTGTTAACCATATGGTTCTGGTGTGAAATAAAGCACAATAATTACATTTAAGACTGTTTCCCTTTTTTTTAGAAAAGTATCGAAAAAGAATCGGAATCGCAAATTCTTGACTTGGTATCGGAACCAAAATGTTGGTATCGTGACAACACTAGTGTCACATAGAATTAGCAGAGAGATGGATAGACGAGATCGCACAAGGATGCAGACACACACACGTGTTTCTGGGATGGACACATGAATGTAGGATTTGGTTTTTTGGATTGCACCAGAAATTAAGCTATCTGGATTGTTTTGTCATAGTTTGTAATAACTTCCTCTTGAGGGATTAAACATCATAATGTGTATTTAACGTGGATTGCAACCTAAATCCCAGCCTTAACATCTATCTTGACCCATAATTTAAATCCCTCTCATCGCTGCTGTGCATTTTTACCTCAATACGCACAGATGCTGCCTGTGGTGAGGAAATAATTAATATTAAATGCAAATCAATAGCAGAGAGGTAGAGGAATGGATAGCAGGAGAAGCTGCACACACACCATGCAACGCAACGTCTACACAATTACCAATTAGAGAGATAATCAGGATTTCATCAGAGATGGAGCCCTTTGAACCAGCAGCTGAGGAAAATGGATCCCCTCTTAGTGATGCATTTAAATATGTATGGCGCTACGTGATGTACATATAGTATGCACTATAGGAGGAAGCATATGGGGAGAAACTACTGCAGGCTGAATGCTCTAGAACACTGCTACACCAAATATCTGTAAAATGGTGAAGGATTACTTCTAGATAAAACCCTCTATCAGAGCTGTGAGTCTAAAAGAGGACACACAACTCAATTTAGCAATTTGGCCACCAAATGCCCTTTTTTTATCTGCAGTCCACTTCCCTTCCCTTCTAGCCTTTACTCCGGTTCCCTGGTCGTTTGTTATAACGGGCAGATTAGAGCAGCGGCTGCCAGCTGACGAGGGGAGATGTGGCACAAAGCAGCAGAGCCCCGTGTAAGCACAAACTGTAATGACTATAATCGCCCGCTGATCCGGCTGCTGCCTCTGATGGAGGAGGGCCGAGTCCCCTCAGTCTGCTGGCCACTGACAGCACACAAAATAAAACACATCAATCAATAGGTAAACAATTGAATCAATAAAACCGCATTCAACATGCACGAAAACACTGAACTAACATAAGGAAGAGTAGTATGGGAAATACTACGTCTGAATTATTGTGAGGGACATCAAACATATGGACTTTACTCAGCTCCGAATATAAAGTGTGGGTAATGTCTGATTCTGCCAAAGTGTAAATAAAGCTGCTCATTGTGCGGAGAATTCAAGTGAAAGGGCGTGTTGATGATGTTTCTAAAGAAGCAGAAATTGTTAAAAAAATAGTCAAAAGAAATGTATCATTCCACCATCTTTAAAAGATTGAAGTGAAGAAGAAGACAAAGAAGAAGTTTGTCTGTTAGAGCCTTCTCTGAAATCCTCAGAAAAATGTAATGAATAGCAAAAGTGTTGTTCAAACCGAAGTGCAATCCGTCATGTGGTGCCTCCTGCACACTCTACCCCTTGACCGAACCAAACACAGTATTTCCAGAAAGGGAGAACAGAACATCTGCTGTTTTGTGCCACATGTGTGAAAGGGAAACTCCGGATATTGTTTAAGAAATGACAGTGCAGCTACTGTCAGACAGTGGCGGTTCTACGGGGTGGCACGGGGTGGCAGCTGCCACCTCAGAAAAATGCCTTGCCACCCCAGCTGGCAGCTTTGTTTTGAAATAAAAGTTGTGGCTCATCGGACATTTATGAGAGAAAATCTCTAATGTTCGAGTGCAAGTAAATGCAGCACAAGACGCAAGCCTTGTTGTAACCCCTCCCCGGCCCTGGCGCAGCGTGGAAATATGATTGGCGGCAATTTCATTTGAACGGGGGACAGCGCAAAACGAGAAGCATTTCAGATCCAAGTAGACGGAAGGAATGAGGTATTTGCGGTCTACAATGACAGAGAAGAGACTGTCAAGTCTGGCTGCACTCAGCATTGAATCAAAACGCACTAAAGCTTTAGATCTTAATAAGTTTGTGAGGCGATTTGCTGAACAAAATGGTAATCGCCGCATTCAGCTGTAATAGGCATGCCAACTTGATGCTCTGCTCACGGATGACTCGATGAGCATAATAAACTGTTAAGATGATGACCTTGTATGCGTGTATATATATTTTTCTTTGAGGGGGTCTGCCCCTAAAAAACAGTTTTAAGTCCTGAGAAAGTAAAATAAGACGGTGTGTAAAACTACACTGCCCAGCCAAAAAAAAGTAACCACTTTGATTTAACTAGGCCAGTAGGTAAGGACCTTCCACTGGATGATAACTGCAGCGATGTTTATGTTTTAGCTGAATACACGTTTTTTAACCCTAACTGATGCAGTTAGTCACTTCTTTAATGTTTGTTCTTTCTGATGTAAAGTCCAGGTTGTAAGTGTTTGCAGTGAAGTTGTGGGGCGCTGAACTGTTCTTTTGATTATTTTGATTTATGATAGTAATTACTTGTCTTTCAAATTTGAAGGAGGGTGAGCAAGCATCTTGAGGAACATTCATC